TATTAACTTAATTAGGGTACTCCTAAGGCTTAGGAAGAGCCACACTCAAGGGGCCAAAGAGCCGCATGTGGCTCGCGAGCCACAGTTTGCCGGGACTTGGCCCTACAGGACCCTGGGAATTTCTGCCCAAATGGCCTATGTCCATTTCCAGGCCTGTACCTGTGTCTGTGCACCGCCTCCCTCAGAGAGTGGTGCTCTCAGTGTCCACTCCCCTGGGCATGAGAATGGCCAAGGGTGACTAATGGGGAACTGGGTCGTCAGAGCTTGGATGCACCAGCTGGGGCCGCCAAGAGTTTGGGGCTGGGGGTCAGGCTGCAGGCTCAGGCTGGGAAGAGAGAGGTGCTCCTCCCGTGTCACGGTGTTCCAATGGGTAGAGCTACAAGGAGTTGGAATTCTGAATTTGAACCTGGCCTTCCAGACTTTATAACAAGCAATTCAGGGCAGGGCCAAGTAAGTTTACAGTTGTGAGTACAGAGTTTATTCTTATTTATTAATTACTGTGTTATTTCCATACAAACTACTGTAAACCTACTTTTGCCTCCCCCTGTATTCATCCAGGTAGAAGAACATATTTTATTTAACAACCTGTCAGCTTCATTTATACCTCTTAAGTATAATGGCAAAAGAATGTGCAGGCCTGCATTTGTACACTGGCTGGGGGGCCCTACCCCCCTCTCTCCCATGCCTTCCTGTTTCTGTCCACCCTGCACATCACTGTCAGAGGCAGCGTTTATGAAATGCACTTTTCCTGCATCACCCCCTGCTCAGAACTCACCATGGATCTCCAAGGTCTGCCCAGTTCATTATGGAACACCACCTATGTCAGGTATGGTGCCACGAGTATCTCATTCATGTCTTTTACAAACCACAAGTACACTGAGATTCAGAAAGTTGCTCACAGTTGCAGGCGAGGAGGTGACGGTGCCAGGATTTAGACCAGGCCTTCCTGGTCCCACAGGTGGTGAGCTTTGCATCGCATACCTGTCTCCAGCCTATCATCCCTGCCTTCTCCTCCAACTGTTCCCCTAATGCAGGGGTTGCAAACACAGTTGTCTGCAGGGGCCAGTGGAGCGATGCCAGTAAGTAAAGTGACCTCAGTGTCGGGGGAGTAGTAGGGGCTCTGGCAGGTCCAGCCCATTTGGGCCAGGCTGGCTGACAAGGGCTTCCCATTTTTTCCAAGAGAAAACAGAAACATGGAATGTTCTAGAAATTTTTAATTGTTTCACACTGTGAGCCAAGTGCAACACATCTGGGGGCCATATATGGTCCATGGACGGCCAGCTTGCACCCCCTGTCCTGTGTGAAGCATCCAGTCCGGGGGGACGCATCTTGTTGCTGGCCCAGAGACACAGCCCACCTTTCCCACGGCCCTGGCTTTACTCCAGCTGTGCCTCCTACCGCAATGCCTCCTTCTTCCTCTTCCTCCTCCTTCTCCTCCAAATTCTTCAGACCTCACTCCAACCCACCTCTTCCACGAGCCTCACTGCTCTCTCCAGCTCACCCACGTCTCCCTCCTCAGAGCGCCTACATTTATCAGAGCAGAAAATAGTAATGATGGGGCCTCCCATTTGCATAGGACTTTCCAGTCCACAGAATGGTTGGTGGCACATTGTTTATGTTGTTTTAAAGTGGATCCCCATGACGAGCTGCGAGGCTGGGGGAGGCAGGTTTCATTATTGAGGGTGGGGTAGGATTCCTGCAGGAAAACAACGGAGGCTCCAGGAGGAAATAGCTGATTGACTCAGGGCTACACAGCTGGTAATGATCCGACCCAGGACTTTTGTTTTCAACAGCTTTAATAAGGCATAATTTAAATGCTGTGAGATTCACCCACTTTAAGTGTACAGTTTAATGTCCAAGCCAGGACTTTTAGCCCAACGCCCAGTGCTGGTTCTGCTACACCACCATCCACCCCA